CACCTTTACCCAGAATTAGAGCGGTGTAAAATAACAGCCCCTACATCTGTTCCAGTCTCACAGCAACATTWCAGCCGTAGCTGCAGAGGATGATATATCCCTGCGATGGGGTGGCCTCAGATTAACAGGGTTTATTCTGTCCTCTGGGGGAGGAGGGAGGGGCCGCGGCAGGGGTGGGTTTGGGTTCTGGGACGAGACGGGACGCCCACCTGAGGTTTTGATCTTGCGTCCGGCCTGCCCGCTGCCGTCCTCGTGGTCGATGGGCTGGCTGGACAGGGAGAAGATGCTGATCTCGGCCACGCGCACCGGCGCCTCCTTCACGTTGCTGTGGAGAGCCAGGATCTGTCCCCCGTCTGTCGGGTGCTGCATCACCTGAGACGGACACCGGGAGTCAGACCGTGAACAGAGCAGCAAACCTCTCTTCTYAAGCGTTTCTCATATCAACCTCTTAAAAAAAAAAATAGATCGATACATCTTTTCCTGTCCATCAGCCTCCACATCCTGTCTTTGTTTGAGAAGTCTTCATGTGTTCAACGACTAAACAGGAATAAAAACATCCTAAATCTGACTGATGATGCATCAGGTTAGACTATTTTATTAGTTTTAGCAGCTCTTTGCTCTTTTGTCTGCAGACGTTTGRTGTGACTCTGAGTTATATAAATTAACTGAATAAAATTTGCTACTTTAGCCTTTTAGCTAATGTTTTGATACTGTAATTGATAAAAATTGTTATTTAGTGGTTTATTTTTACATTTTAGCTGATTCTTTAAGCTAGAACTAGCCTTTGGCAACTTTTAGCTAACGCTTTAGCAAGTTTTTGCTTTCAGATGCCATTTTGCTTCATTTAGGCTTTAGCTAGCTTTTAGCTTCCTTTAGGGTTCAGCTACTGTCTACAACTTTTAGTTACAAGTTGCATTGTGCTACTATTGGTTGGGTTTAGCTGGCTTTTTCCCCATTTCTAACATTTAGCTAGCCTTCTGCTACTTTGTTTTAGCTAGTGTTCTGCTCTTTTAAAGTTACAACTAGCCTTTAGCTACCTTGTTTTAGCTAGTGTTCTGTTCTTTAAGTTACAGCTAACCTTTAGCTACCTTGTTTTAGCTAGTGTCCTGTTC